GTCTGATCCAGGTCTTGTCTCCCCTATTGAAAAAAAGGTAAAAAAAAAAAAACACAAAATTAAAAAGAAAAACATTTTTTATTTTTTAGGCATTTAAATTTGATTGCTCTTATGAAACTGACATTTCTGGTAGTGCACAAGGAGATCTTTCCCATCCTTCACTTTTCTGTTGGCTCATCTCTATGCTAGACAGTCTCAATTAGGCACACAGGAAACCATGTGGGAGAAGACAGACTGGCTCCCACCACCAGAATTGTCAGTTTCTTAAAGTGTTACTAAACCCGGACCCTGCATTCACTATATCCGGTCTCCCCGGACCCTGGATCCTGCATTCACTATATCCGGTCTCCCCGGACCCCCTGCATTCACTATATCCGTATCCGGACCCTGCTCACTATATCCGGTCCCCCGGCATGCATTCACTATATCCGGTCTCCCCGGACCTCACTATATCCGGTCCCCCGGACCCTGCATTCACTATATCCGGTCTCCCACAGTACACAGAACATGGAAATGCATTTTAGTAAATATAAACTGCTAAAACATTTCCTGATCAGCAGTATATAGCAGTCTTGTGACTTATACAAGCTTTAAACCAGTGCTCAGCTGAAACACTGATAGGAGTTTTCATTTTCCTCCGATTGTCCTACGAGGCTGCATAACCCCTGACCCTCTGTCTGGACAGCACTGATTGGCTCTGTGCTGACCACATGCACCCAATGGAAAAAAAATTCTAGCCATTTACACTAAACTGAGCATGTTCAGGGTGACTCCTAGAGCTCTGTACTATCAGCAGATGGATGGGGACAGCAGAGGAAGGGGAGGATCTGAGAAGACAGGATCAAACAGCCTTTTCACACAATGCAGAGGATTAACCCCTTAGGTTACTACAAGCATGCTTTTCTGCATACACAGACTGATTTTACTTTTGTGGGTTTGGTAACACTTTAAGGTACAGCAGTCACCTCCAGACATCTACACTGCTGTGGTTCGGTTTCCATGCCTGTGTGAAATAAAAATGTGTTCATTTATCAGTGTTTGGCCTCTTTAGTAAACCTGCAAATACAGAAATGGTACCTGTTAGAGCGCATTAACACTAGCATTGCTCTCTGAAGAGTGATCCATGTTCAGATTGTCCAGTGCTCACTGAACAGCACTGGACAGTCAGGAAGCCTTTTGTCACTTCCTTTTTTAATCCCCTAAAATGCCAGACTACCACTCCGCAATGGCGTGCATTGCACACAGAACCAAACATGAAAATGGGGTTCAATTCTGGGATGGGGGATGGGGGGGGGGGGGGGGGTATACATGCATGTCTGCAATGCTTTGCGGCATGTGTACACCCCTGGTTGTTGTCTCTCCAGCCAAGGGGGAACTGTTGAGGGGCAGTAAAAAGGTTGCACAACCGCTAGTGTAAATGTGCCCTTAATACACCAAAAATCCAGGTACGCTCCTAGCTTCTTGTAATGAGCCAACTCTGCCTCTGTTACACTAATCCCAAGCAGTGTTTCCAACCCTGCCTGTCCTGTCCCCTGCTGGACCATAGAAAACCTCCCCCCCCCCCCCCATGTTGGGAGGAGCGGGAGGTTCTGTAGTCTTCGCATAAAAACTCAGGCAGGGCTGACACCAATTAGGAATTCAGAGCAACAGAGGCAGTGGTCAGCTCAGATAAGTTAGGATCACACCGATTTGGGTCAGAGGCCACAGATATTTTCCGTACTTGCTGCATTCTCACAGGCATAACAGGAAATGCACATGTACGTACTACAGAGATATACAGCTTATGTTTTTATGATCTTGCCCAGACACACACTAATGGTTTTAACAATGAACATTAAAACTTGGTTCACTTTCCATCTGTTCCCGGCCTGTAAAATCTTTCCGGTGCTGTACCTAACCTTTGGATTGCTCTTTTGGTCTACAAGTCAAAACCCATTGAAGAGCTTTCCAGATTCAGTGAACTTTCCAACTACTCAATAAGTAACTTTGTCAAACATTGTTAGTTATCTAGGAGCCCTCTTTCCCAGCCTTTTTGCATCATTACAACAAAGTCCAGAAAATCAAATTACCTGAGTCGACCCTGGCTATGAAACAGCTGCCTTCTGTACATGCGTCGGATCCCTCCCTGTTGACAGAGAGATCACCGCACAATTATATTACACATACAATTTATTGGGTTAGCTATGAAGCAGCTGCCTTCACAATAGGCCATCTTTTTCCATCCATCTTAGGCCTCATGCACGCTGGGCATAGGAGACTGCAGCATTTTAATGCGGGTGGAAGCAACAGGTGCCCCTGTCCAACCAGCCTGCAGCAGACTGAAACTCAAAGGCATAAAGCTACTGTGGCTGGATGGTGTAGTGAGCGGTATGAGTGGTTTTGCCCAGGGATGAACGTCACAGTAGCTTTCCTCATCTCAGAATTTTATAGGCTGCTGGCAGTGGGGCTGGACAGTGCGCCCTGTGCCTTTCACCCAAAGCAAAAAGCAAAAAAAAAAAAAAAAAAAAGGGAGGTCAGGATTTCAGATGCAGGGCTAAACACCCAGCATGCATGAGCCCCTATCTGCAATAGAAGCAGCAGAATGAAATGTATAGCCAAGAGACAGCTTACTGGTAAGGCAGCTACAATGTAATGCAGCTGTCATTACTGTGGAAACAGCATGCCAGCAGTTATACTGAGATTTGGAGGTCACGAAGAAAAAAATTAAATAACGCGCACTTACATTTCTTTTTTCCCCTGACCAGACTAAAACCACTGCCTCCCCTTCACAGATATATACTTAAAACACTCTGGCACCCACAGCCTCAGAGGGTGGTTTACATCCAACACCAAGTCTCACTGTCCCGGCTGTGCCTATGCATAGACCTCTATATAAGGTGATGTCCTGAGGCTGAAAACAAAGGGAAATGACCACACAGATATCTATCGGGCTATAATGCTCTTGGACAGGAGGCCACAGACCAAGGCAAGCACGCATCTGTATCGAAATCAAAGACCACTACTGTTCAAATCTTCATGATCCACAGTATCTCACAGCAACGGTCCCTCGATGAGGTGCAGCCCTCTGAAGATAGAGAAATCTTAACACCGACAAGTAAAAACATAACAGGGCGCACTCTCCTCGTGCATTACCATGGTATCAAATGCTTTTATTATAAAATAACAAATGCATATTCACAAAATGACCATTAAAACTGATACGGAGCCAAATATATCAGTCACAGGCAACGGGGGTCCTTTGGAACAGGTTACCGGTAGAAATAGCTTTTGTGTTTCAGGAGACACTCTCCCTTCCTCAGCTCTGAGGAAGGGAATGCATCTCCTGAAATGCATCAAATATTTCTACTGGTAACCTGTTCCAAAGGACCCCCGTTGCCTGGGACTGATATTTGGCTCTGTATTGGTTTGAAAGGTAATTTGTGAATATGTACTTGTTAATTATTTTATAATAAAGCATTTTATATCACGGTAATGCACAAGGAGAGTGCACCCTGTTGTGTCACCCCCTCCCCCCAAGCATGCATCTGTGGAGGGGACAAGGTGGGTTTGATTTGGTCAGGACAAAAAATGATTATTACACTTTAAGTTAATGTCATGCAAGTGCATACAAGTAGAGAACAAGACTTTTTGGACAGAGGGGGGTAGGGCATGAAACTTGTCAGGCTGTTATGGCTGTGTAAAAGACCAGCCTCCCCCAACTGGCACATGGACATCAAAGCCTGCTTTTATCAAAAAAGATTTGCTGTAGTTCTATTGTGAATAGTTTATCCAGGAGATGATTAAAGTAAAACTCCAAACAGTCATTCTTTCCCTACTAGATTTGTGGTCTAAAATGCACCAAGTAAAGATATCAATTTTTTTTTTTAACCTAGTTTACTTTTCCAAAAACAGTTTATCCTGCGGACCAGGAGATCCATACAAAAGGTGACTAAATCTGCACATCTAGTCTCACTGCCCTGCGTGGGCAGAGTGGCCATGTCATTTCCAGGCAGTACAGAAGAGTTAAGTGCCACTGAGCAGCCCCGACCACCTTCCTGCACCACATGGGGTTCACTAGCAGCAAGTCGCCTTTGATATCAAACCCCTGGGAGTGCGGAATGCAGTCTCCAGAGCACACTGCCTCTCCCTTTGGCATGCAGGCAGGCAGATTTCTAGAGAATTTAGTCCCAGAAAAACATGCAAGCAACTCCTATATGCAAGCCAATGCATGAGAGAACAACCTCATGCCAAGATTTTAGTGGCTTTGTATCCTGGGTTGGGAAATCCCAGGTTGTATTTTGGATTATCCTGGACTTAAGTCATATTTTCACTGAAACTGGAAACCCCTAGGAACCTCACAGAACCAGTGTCATAAAATGAGGCGGCCTTCATGTCCCAAGACTGCCATTGTTCCATCCTCAAAAGCGGAAAAGCTTAGAGAAACTAATGGTTTAAACCACTTTCAGCTTATTGCTTCCAAAGTGTAGTCATTTATAAAACCGTTTTGCCTTTTTTTGTATTAAACAAAAGTGCTGATGTTATTAAAAACCTAACCATTAGGTCTATTGCTTGTAGACCTCCTCTGCAGATGGGAAATGGAGACAGAAATGATCTCTGCGAGCATGATAATTCTCAATGATTCAGATACCCGTGTATTCAAAAACATACTTCTACACAGGTCAAAACTCATGTCCATTTTCAGTATTGTAGTATACAATTGAGTACTGTCCGTGATACTTTTTTTATTTGCACTAACATACAATTTTGAGGACAAGCTTTCGGGGTCCCCTTCTTCAAAGTCCAAACAGTACTATTACAAATCACAAATTTTAAAGCAGAATGTTAGAAGGGATCACAATCGGCTACAATCACCTCAGTATTGTAGTATAAAAGGCTGGGTGGTTTTGTTGGTTTTCATTGTCAACCTGCTGTGCTAGTGGTAAATATAAAAAACATTCAAAGACGAAGACTTCCTATGCATTTTTCTCCTGGTATATTTCTGTGAAACCCCTACAGCTAAATCAACCGTTACCACAGAGCCACTTACCGTGATGTAACTGTGATTGTGCATGAGGGGGTATGAGGATGGAGTTCAGTGTGGGCTGAATTGATAGTTCTGTAGATAAAAAAGAAAAATATGATAAGCTTTGCACCATCTTCATACATTTAATATTACTACAGAAATTAAAATCATCCCTCAGGGAGGATTTTGGTAGCTGGAGTTGTCAGGTTTTCAGTGTTGGCAATGAGGCAGTATGAAGTCACACTAGTGGTCTAACAAAATGCAATCAAATCAACCAAGACAACTTAATCACCCTTTGCCGTCTGTCTTTGCAGGCATACAGGTTCAACCAATCCATGCACGTAGCTCTAAGCGCATTTTGGTTGGCTTGTAGTAAAACACAGATTTACTTGCACTGCCGTATTATTGGTGGACAGAATTGCACAGCAGGCTCTTGGAGAACCTTCAATCTTACCTACAGAACTGAAATTGAACATGGGAGGCAATTCCCTGCCGCTGGGTAGGCGTGTGTTGGGGTCGCGAAGCTCATCAAAGAAGGAGTGTGCACAGGCCTGTAGTGGGGAGAGGCGGGTGTCTGGGGTGTACTCCAAAAGCCGGCTGCACAACGTGATGGCTTCAGGAGAGGTACGGGGCTTAAAGACCTGGAAGAAAAAAAAAAAAAAAAAAAAAAACACCCCATGAAAGGATTAAATAAATGGGAACTCCAGTACCATTTTAACAAGTACACACTGAATTAGTGTAATACAAGGCTTCCTCCTATTCGCCAAGATGGAGAGCAGGTGATCGACATCATGATTTCCACCTCAGCCAATCAGAGGAAGTCTTGAATTTACTGATTAAACTACAAGGCTTCTCCTGAATGGCAGAGAAGCACTCAGCCCAACTCTTTCTGGCAGCAGACCGGAAGTGGCCCATACTGCTGCCAGAACACAGAGGTTAATGCTGCTACAGTCCATCACTTCACACATAGCGGCTGCATTGTTCTGTAATGGAAATAGAAAAAGCGAAATCAAACCTGGATTTCTACTTTGATGAAAGTTTTCCATTGCTTATACACATGGTAAAGGAGGTGGATATCTTGAAATCTCTTATAAAAAGGTTATGTGTAACTATAGTTGACATTTTACTTGGGATGCAATATATTTGTTTGCATTTACCTTTGTCCAGGGATGTGCTTTTATTTGTGGAAATTTGAATTCTGTGTAATTTGGATTCATCTCGCGTATTTGTTCCCTGGTGGGAGTTCCTAAAACCTGGAGAAGGGAAATAAAAGGGGGGGAAAAAAAAAAACCTGTTAATTCTCATACTAAAATCAGGTTTCCATTAATTCTGGACTTCTATGAAGGTGTCTCATGACCAATCTGCCCATATATGGCCACAATTCACCAATTCAAAGCTGATCTTCTGAGTTGTTTAATTCTGGACACTACCTTTGCAGTGGGCTTCCATCCTTACTGCAAGGGTTACATGCTTGAGATCTAGTGGTAGAGGAATAAGATGAATTACGTGACTCATTTCATACATGGCGCTGTTCTTTGAGGCCCAAGGCTGTGGTGGGTCACTCACTGTCCACCTGTACAATGCAGGACTATTAGTCCTGTATTGTATTTCATGACATCCTTTAAGGTTTTGGGGGTGACCAATTGCACAGCACAGAGGAAGTCTGCCAGGGCAAGGACCAAGGCTAGCATTACCCCTACACGTAAGAATTTAAAGGCCAACTCAGGGAACAAAAAAAATACCCTTGCATTTCAGGGGGCCCATAGGGGCTGTAAGGAGCCAAAATATTTCCCCAGCAGGCTCCTGTGTGACCGGTCCCCCTAAAGCCAGCTCTAAGCAATTTACAGCTGCAGTCACACCCCCTCCATGTACAATGCAAGGTTAATAGTCCTACACTGTATGTGATGGCGCCAAGAGATTATAGCTTTGGGGAGGAGACAGTGCAAGGGTGGGGAATCCAAACAGGAAATACAGCATCTTGCTCTACCCCTTAGGCTTAACAAGCATTTTACCCTTGCAGCACCAGGAGGGGGGAGGGGTGTCACTGCCAAGGGTAGATCTTGTTCAGTTCTTGGAGTTGGCCTTTTTCTTTTGCTGTGTGCAGGGCCCCTACTGCAAGGATAACATTTTTCATATTGAGTGGAGCTTTAAAGTGCAAGTAAAACCACTTTTGTATCTTTTACCTACAGGTAAGCCTTTAATAAGACTTCCCTTGAGGTACTGTAAATCTCCTAAACGTGCACCGTGTAAGATATTAACTGTAGAAGCGGCAGTGATGTCACCGGAGCATGCGCACTGCACTCTCAATGGACGGCCATGCCATGGCTGAAACTCCTACGTGCATGTGCAGTAGTGACATCACAGCTCGGCCAGATGGCCTCAGCATGCGAAACCCAGAAGGAAGACTGGGTGAAGATGGAAGCCTCAGGGAGCTGTGACAGCGCTCTGCTGGGAGGGCTTCGTTTTCAGGTTAGGTCTTTCATACTGTGCTAGTATGTGATGCAGGGAGATTATTTTTTTTTTTTTTTGGCGGTTTACTACCACCCTAAATGACCAAGTGTACAGAACAGCATGGCTGCTTCCAAGAGCTTTAGAATATACCAATGGAAAAATTGTTAGACTGTCACTATCTACTAAAAAGGCAAAAAATGACAGACTCTTGAATGAATAGAATACTGATCCACACTTTCCCTGACTCACCACTGCTCCTTTATTGAGTCATAAACCCTATGTAAGCTCCATTTCACATGCTTTTTTATACGCTGAATAACCAGGCTCTTCAAAACTTAAATTGCCATGAAAAGGCATCTCCCAATTGCCTGTGTGCAAGAACAGGCCAACCTCCTAGTTGTCAACTAGTGCCACAAAACAGCCTGAAAATATCTGCAGCGCACAGAGCATAGGTTGGTCTCCGGTGCATCAACAGAAGGCAAACAGCTAAGCAACAGAAACAAAGGTCTTATGTGGGATTGAACCACTTTCTAAAAAGCCATGGCCCTAAATTAGACGAGAAGTCAGTTTCTGAAGATCTGATAACTGACAATTTAAGAGAAAAATCATTAAATACACACAATGTACCATTCATCCATGTTTTATGTCCATGACAGGAAGTCCAGTAATATTTGCCTCCTATTAGGCTAACCGTCCCTGCTGAACCATTACCACCACCACCCCTCATCAGCTGACCAGGGTCTATATCAAACTAAAAAGCAGCTTTTGCTGTTATTATTCACCTGATCTTTGGTGTTCCTCTGCAGACTCACAGATTCAGCAGCTGCTGCTCCTCCTAGCTGAATGCTGCCAAATGTCATTCAACCCACTTCCTGTGAGCCCAGGGCATCAAGAATTCACCTGACCATCTAATACACTCCTTCAGTAAACGCTATAAATACTACAATTAACATGTTACAAATAAACACTGCAGCCATTTTCTGATCACTGACCTTTATGATCTCTACCAACTGGTCCACACCACTGTCTCCAGGGAAAATGGGCTGACCCAAGAGCAGCTCTGCCAGAACACAACCTGCTGACCATATGTCTGAAAAAAAAAAAAAAAGTGCCACTATAAATAATCACAGGTATGTCAAAGAAAATCAGGTAGGTAACATTCCTGGACACCAGGATCAGGCTTCATGTGGCACCAACTCACCAATGTTTGCAGTGTAGTCTGTGGCTCCAAATATAAGTTCCGGTGCTCTATAGTAGCGGGAGCAGATATACGACACATTCGGCTCCCCCCTCACTAACTGTTTTGCACTGTGAAAATTGAAAAAAACAAAAGTATTCCCGAGTGATAAAAAAAATCTTTAACTGCACCTAAAAACACAGTAACAATGCTGAACTTAAGCAGTCGTTTTGTGTATAAAACCCAAGAAGGTTTTTAATGTTGCATCAATTTATTTTATAATCCTCTCAGTGCAATTAGTATGTCTGCTTATAGAGAAATCATACTCGCCTTCAGTCCAGCGATGTGACATCCCACAGATTCCCGTTAGCACCTTCTGGTTATTGATCACCAGCCTCCTTCATTGGCCAGGCCAAGACATTCTTACACCTGCCCATTGCCGAATATTTACAATTTAGCTGTGCATGTACAGGGGCCGAAAGGCGGGTAACAAAATGGTCCCCCAGCAGGCTCATGTCAAAATGTGTTAGTATGCACCGCATACTAGCACATTATAACAGACTATGCCAAGAAACGGATCCCTCCAGCACCGCACTGTCATCGCTGGCAGGAAATTATCTTCATACAGGGTTTTCCTGCCAGGTTTGTGGGCTTGGGCCATTTGGTCAAACCCTGATGACGTCACTCCTGTGCATGTGCTTGGGAGTCACAGCTCTCAATGGATGGCACACGATTATAGGTTTACTTATAGGTACAAAACAAAAAGGGAGTTTACTACCACTTTAATGGCCACATCCGAGAAGGCTTAGGGCAACGAAGGCTGAAAGGCAAATCAGTGTGCTGGAGAGTGCATGGGAGTGTACTTACAAGCCTCCCTCTCCCCTAGCGGCCACCCCTCACCTTTTTAATTTAAAAAAAAAACAAAAAACACAACACGTCCATTTTTACAACAGCCAAGCTGAAGAAAGGAAATCAATCATTCTACGACACTAGCAAAAAAACAAAAAAAAACACAAAAAACTGAGGCATGCTTATAGCAGGGTAACTTGTACTCTGTGCTGACCTATAGTTATTTTTATTTGCCAGTGTGCAATCCTGAACCTGCAACAAATAGGAATTTTCCAATTTACTATAAATAGAAAAATCAAATTAAAACTTGTTAGAACAAAAATGGAGACTACCAAGGCTGCTCTACTGGTTGCCCTGAAGAATGGTCTATGCATCCAACACCAATGGTAAAAGCAGAAATTTAGCAAAATATGAAACAGGACTGCTGAGCCAATACAAACAAATCACATGGCTTGTAGCACCACCAAGGTGTCAGGACATCCTAACTGCCAGGCAGCAGGGTCAAACAGCCAGCTATCTACAGGTACTAAAGTAACTCAACGGGTTGAGACACATTAAAGCAGAACTTCACCATCAACATGGACTATTTTTAATCCTTATGCTGCTAGCATTACTAAAGGGATAGGAAAGTATATCATTTACTTGCTTTACATTTTTTTTTTCTAAGGTCTTCAGTTACTTCTTGGTTCCCATGCCTAGGCAAATCATGTCATACACCCCAGCAGTCTTCAGAAGGTGAGGAAGGGGTTTTTTTTTCATCTCATAGGTGACAAGGCTGGCACTGTGTGCAAGCAATCGGCGGCAGCGTTGCCTCCGAATACTCCCACCTGACAGGTGAGCCCGCTGTTTGCCCGCAGCAGGGCTAAATGTAGAAAAGAACTACCCGCCCAGGACTACATGTCCCAGGCGATAGGAATCCAACATCCCTGTTAACAGTTAAATAGCATTTTTTGGTTAGTGGTGCTCAAATGCAGTGCAGTCCCACTTTAAGGAAATAAAGGAGTGAGCTGTGCCATGTTTTATTAGTTAACTTGTTTGCCATGGCAAAGTTCAATTAAATGGTATTTTACAGTTCTTCCACGAGCACAATGGGTACTAGAAAACACAGAAAGCCACCCCTTACTAGATGTAAATTGCTTACAAAAAGGGATGAATAATTTAGGCTTACCTGCCAAAGTCACAGAGTTTCAGCACTGCTGTATCCGGATCAACCAGTAAGTTCTGTGGTTTGATATCTCTATGGCAGACACCTTGAGAATGGATATAGGCCAGACTACGGAATAGCTGGTACATGTAGACCTGGGAGGGGACGAGAGAAACAATCATCCTCAGAAGGCCCACAATCACCACCAAGCTTCCTCCCGTTACAAACATGTTTCTGTCCTAACTCACCTTCACATATAGGGACGGCAGCGTGGATTTGGCTTTTGCAAAGTGCCGAGCAACACGATAGACTGTTTCTGGGACAAAGTCCAGGACTAAGTTCAGATAAACTTCATCCTTCTAAAAGAGGAGAACACATGAATTCTAATACATTCAGTAATACTACACAATTTTTCATTAAAACACAAACGCGTTTACTGGATAAGACAGTAGGGATCAGTAACTCAAGGCAATCATTGGCGTTTGATAAACCAAGAGATGAACAGCTTCTATGAGTTACTGTAATTTGAACATTGTCTTTTCTTTTACAATAGTTCAGAAGCGTGAAAGACTCTAGAGAAGGATAAGATAAAAAAAAAAAACTGAACACTTTAAAAAAGGGAATAAAAAGGAACTAAAATAAGCCTGATCAGACAGATCCTTTTGGTACAGCAGAAAGCATTTTAGTAAAATTGGTAAAGTGCAAGTATGGAGAGGAAATAAGGTGGGTGGAGGCGAGCCTGACCTTCTCTCCGCTGGAGTAGAAGAAATATCTCAGACGCACAATGTTACAGTGATCCAATCTACGCATGATCTGCAGTTCACGATTCTGTACAATAGAGGGAGAGAAAAAAAAAAGTGAATGCAAGTCATAAAACCCAAGCATTGACAGAAAAGACTCAGTCTTGATGCAGATTAACCATTTTTTAAAATTTGCCAGCTTGATCCTAACCTTAAATCTCTTGTCTTGCAAGACTTTCTTAATCGCCACCATCTCTCCACAATCCACAAGTCTTGCTTGATAAACCACGCCAAATGAACCATTGCCGATGACTTTGATGTCTGTATAGGACACTTCCTGCGGACGGTCTGGACCCTGGCCTGGCGTGGCCACTACTGTGGTTACTTTTCCATTGTCTCCTGTGAAGAGAGAACATTACGTCTAAGCAGAATTCCAAACCATTCAAGACCTGTATTGTACTGTGTCCCTGGACACTTCATTGTGATACAAGCAAAAAAACAGACTAGAAAAAGGGTGCACATTAAACATAGGGCCCTCTTGCTGTAACATCCCTGAATGGAGGCATGCCTAATTTGTGTTGTCTGTAGGTGGCCTCAGCCACAGAGTGGGCAGTTATATGAGGACACAAGGTGAAGGCCCAGCAAACATCTTGCCAGTGTCCACCTGCAAGTAGCGGCATAACCCATAGTCCAAGAATTGATCCCTGTGTCTGATAAAGAAATTTAAATTTTATAACGCCTCATATGTTCTCTAGTTGATGAAAACTGCACTTCTAACACAATACAGATCAATGCTCTAGGACAGAGGTCTCCAAAACCAAACAAAAGGACCAGTTACCATTCTTTAGATTTGGAGGACAAGACTGGCCAGTGGGAGCAGAAAACACCCCAGTGTCAGAAAAGGTTTGTGTTTAGTAGGAGGAGAAATCACGCCCCAGCGTTTGTCAGTGGGAGGAATAGTTCCTCACTGGTGTCAGAGCAGGAAGCGTGCCCGCTTTGCTGGTGTCAGTGGGAGAAAGTGTTCCAACATTTGATCAGAATGAAGAATTGCAAACCATCGCTGTATCAGTGGAGGAATGTCGTTCCATTGTGGTTATCAGAGGAATACGGTCCCATAGTTTGTGGTAGTGTTTCAACATTTACAGCAATGGAAGGAATGGTAAACCATCATTGGTTCTAGTGGAAGGAATAGTGCCCCAAGGGTCAAAAGGACCACATCTGTCCTGTGGGCTGTACTTTGGAGACCACTGCTCTAGGAAACTCTTTAGGGTATCCTTAGGTATAAACAGTTGCAATTTTTGTTGTATGCATCTAACCTCCAGAACAAAAATACTGTAGCTTCCCAGTCCTTACATGCAGTGGCTGCATTAGTGTTCTTTTTTTCAGACTTCCCCATTATGTTTAACTGGAAATCTGTCCAGTAAACACCCTTTCTGGTGGTGAAAATGCTTACCCACTGTACCTATACAACATGCAGCATGGTCAGCCTTGTACAGGAAGTGTGTTGGGACTACAGCACTCCCTGCTCTTCAATTCTCCATAAAATACTGAAGGGGGAGAGTATTGATCTCCACAAAACGCACTGGACAGGAGAGGGATAAAAAAAAAAAAAAAAACAAAAAAAAAAAAAAACAAAACAAAATAAAACACCCAAGGACTTCAGATTATCACTGTAGCAGAGAACAACTTAGGAGAGAATTTATGTAAGTGTGCCTCATTTTTCTGGAATTATGAGAACGCTACAACTCAGAAAACAGGCATGCGCACCAGTAGGTGCCTACAACACTATGAAGTGTCAATTCTGGGTTATTTGGGCAAAAGGCAACTTTAATCCTAATGCTAGTTGACAAATACACTGTGCGCACAATTAGGCAAGCAGTATTTTCACCAAATCAATTTTATGCATATTGTCCAACTCCAAGCTGTGTAAACTTGAACTTTTATTGGATTTCAGCATACCAGGTGATGTGAATTTGTGTAATGAGGGAGGGTGTGGCCTAAGGAGATCAACACCTATCAAGGTGTGCATAATTATTAGGCAGCTTCTTTTCCTCAAGCAAAACTGGTCAAAGAAAATTTAACTGACTCTGAAAAAAAAAAAAAAAAAAAAAATGTAAAGTCTTTCAGGGATGCAGCACTCTTGAAATTGCTAAGATATTGGGGCGTGATCACAGAACCATCAAGTGTTTTGTTGCAAATTGTCAACATAATCGCAAGAAACGTGTTGAGGAAAAAAAAAAAAACAAAAAAAGATGCAAATAAACTGCCAAATATTTAAGAATCAAAAACATGAAGCTACCAGGAACCCATTATCCTCCAACACAAGTTGTTGAAACATCAAGACTGGGCCAAGAAATATCTAAAAGGTTTTGTGAACTGATGAGATGAGAGACTCGATGGACAGATGGATGGGCCCGTGGCCGGATCAGTAACAGGCACAATGCTCCACTTCGATTCAGAAGTCAGCAAGGTGGAGGTGGGGTACTGGTATGGGTTGGTATTAAAGATGGGCCAGTTGGACCTTTTCAGGTTGAAGATTGAATCAAAATCAACCCCCCCAAACCTACTGCTAGTTTTTAGAAGACATTTTATTCAAGCAGTGGTACAAGTAAAAGTCTGCATCTTTCAAGAAAACCATGATATGTACGCAGGACAATGCTCCATCGCATCATGTGGCTAGCCAATAAAAGCCTTAAAGACGAAATAATGACATGGTCCCCTTCCTCACCTGACCTAAACCCTATTGAGAACTTGTGGGCCCTTCTTAAAAACGGGAGATTTATGGTGAAGGAAAACAGTACACCTCTCTGAACAGTGTCTGGAAGGCTGTGGTTGCTGCTGCACAAAAAGTTTGATAGTCAACACATCAAGAAACAGACTCCATGAATGGAAGGCTTATAACTTATTGAAAAGAAGGTTGGTTATATTGGTCACTTTTTTTTTCTATTAATGTCAGAAATGTGTGTTTTAATCTGTTAGAATAATAAACAAGTGAGATGGGAAATTTGTCGTTTATTTAGCTGCATAATAATTCTCCACACCAATAGTTGCTCAATTGTCTACACATAGATATTCTCCTTAGAAAGCCAAAACCTCACTTTTACTTTCTTAAACATTCAGGTTTGAGGTTTAACATTTTGGATTGACTGAGAGCACTGTCGATGTTCAATGAAATTAATCCTCAAAAACACAACTTGCCTAATAATTGTGTGCACAGTATTACTTTGATACAAGTCTGGATATCTATTGTAATTCTTAAAACATGGTCCACCACTACAATTTTGAAATGTTGCCTTTCTTGCAGTTATACGCGGTCCCTTTATAAAGCTTTCCCTTTTTCTGGTACTAGGCTGGCTGGGCCCTATGGGGCTTCCCTTTTCTGCACACTCCCAGCATCATGACAAGCTAGCATGAAGATACTGCCTTTGCAGGTACACATAGGCAGCCTGAGAGAAAAACACACAGAAGATCTGCCTCTCCTCTTTCTCCAATGTTATCTTGAGGGAACACCACAAAGATGCCCTCTGCCTCTGGTTCCTCCTCCTCCCTCAACGAATGTCCTGAGAGAACACCACAGTAGACCTGCCTCTGCTGCTGCTTTAAAGAAGTCTGCTGTCAATCATCTCCATTAGAGGAGAAGAGGCATGTCTTCTTTGTGGTGTCCTCTGGGGCTGGCTGTGCGTTTCAGCACAGCCAATATCCGTACAGTCCAATTTTAGAAATGCCAGGCTATGCATGCTTGTGCAATTAATATATTTGGTCATGTGACTGGGATGAATGTTGTGTGCATGCTCCCCAACCAGAAGATTGACGAAACAGTACCCTAGAGCAGTGTTTCTCAACCTTTTTTCAGTCAAGGCACCCTTTAAAAAAAGGTCAGTGATCCCATGGATACAGACAGGGCCAATCACAGCCCATCTGTACCATTAGTTGTGGCAAATCGCAACAATACTCACTGAGTAAATCAGTTTCATTAAGTAAAATTGGTTGTTTATACCAGTGTTTCTCAACCTTTTTTCAGTCAAGGCACCCTTTAAAATTATGGACAGTCCCGAGGCACCCCATTCTAAAATGGGGTGCCTCAAGACTGTCCATAATTTTAAAAAGGGCACCCATTCTAAAATGTAAAAAACTATTCTAATAGTTTTATATAATGCAGCAACATCCACACATGTAGGACACCCAACATTAGAGGCGATTTATTCTTCCAAAGCAAATACACTTTTGCACACTGGTACCGACTAGTATTCCAGTGTTTCTCCTCTCCCTCAGTTTTTCTCCATCGCTGAGCTAATGTGACCCCAAAGACTGATGGAGAGGGACGGGAGGGTCAAACTAGGATGCTGTGCAGGCGACAGTCATCCTCCTCATCAACTGATGTCATTGGTTGTCAGGACACCGGCAGTTAGAAGGTTGTAATGGTGCACAACGAAAACCTGTGGCTTTGTGTAACTAAAAGGCAGGCTTGTTCCACCCGCTGGCTTGTATACAGGTTTTGGGCAATTTTAAGACATTTTGCCAAGGCACCCCTGAAGAAACCTCAAGGCATCCTGGTTGAGAAAGGCTGCCCTAGAAGACAGAGGATGCACCAGAAAAAAAAAAAAAAAAAAAAAAAAAAAAAAGGTTTGAACATTGGTAGTCGGAATGAAATGTCCTATACAAAATTTTTTTTCTTCCTTTTTAACCTTTTCCGGCCAAAGGTATGCATACATGCAGGTGGCCTAACACGCTGCATATATCCATCCTTTCTTAAACATTTTCCTGTGCTGAAGAGCTCACCCCCTGCACAGCAACCAACAGAACCTAAGCATTCTTGCGATTCAGAGCTTTCCGATCATGTGATCACTGTGGCTGCCAATCGGAATGCTCACCTCCGCCCTCCAGCATTTAGAACCTCTTAAATGGCTGGGAGGTGATGGCAGGAAGGGGTTAAAGACAACTCTGAAGTTTAACGGCCACCGCAAAAGTTTTGTTTTTGATAGAGCTTGGATTATATACCCTTTGTCAGATTTTATTGCCATTTGTGTTCCTACTGGGAAATTTGTCAGAACAGGAAGTGATGGGATATCTTTCCAGCACAGACTTCATGCTGGAGACAACCAATCCACCAATTTCTTCAAACTTTGAGTACAGCAAAATCTCCAAACAGGCTTGCAGACAAGAAAAGGCCCGAAAAATGTATTGCTCTTCCACTCTATCCAAACATTTTGTCTGCAGCTCCACGGTGTAGTGAGCAAAGTGGAAAAAAATAAAAAAATAACTGGCTGCTTGGGTCCTGGATTTGTTCAGTTCTGCAGACAAGCCTTACACAATACTCCAACCGTCCCGACTGTTCAAAATCCAAGAACAAAGGATAATCCCAAGGACTGGTTTATTGCCATGTCTTTGGGAAGAGAAGC